GAGGAGAAGGTCAAGGTCTTTTCCCCCTATAGATCAGCGACAAGTCCAGTTAACCACAAAAGACATTTACGCTTTAAGTGTTGCTATAGTTTTGACCATCTGTTTGTGCAGCTCTGCATATACATGTGTGTGTTTTAATCTCCCATTTTAATAAGGGATATAGGCCCCTAACTTTTATGTTGCATTGTTTTAAAATGACGTTGTTGTATATTGATGTATTTGTAGTGCCTTATTGATCTCTTTTTTTTTTCTTTTGCATTTTCATCTATGTTTTACCTTGCTCTTGTGAAGCACTTTGAATTGCAAATGGTGCCATACAGATAAATGTTGATTGATTGATGTATGCAAGTGTGTCTCTCTTTAATGTTCCTGTTAAATTCAGTACAACACGCTATATTTCTCATTTCTGGGATCACTGGTACAAGTGTCTTCGTACATGAGTCATCAGACTTTGTTGTGTTTTTCTGGGTCGTGTGGTGTCCTTGTGTTGTCTTTTGTATGAACCTTGAGTCCGGAATAAAGATTATTATTATAATGATTGAAATACTAGACTTTGTGGAACGTTTTGTTTTGTTTTTTTTCGACAAATTGACGTATCTTAGGAAGAGTTTAATGACATATTCAAAGCAAAAAAAATCTTTCAGTTAAAGTTTATGTTATGTTTGTCCCATTGGGAAGAGTCTTTTTCTCGACATACTCAGAGCTGATTAAAAAACAACTGAAGAAACCACACTTTGAAGAACAAGAGTTACAGGTGATTGTAGCATAACCATTTTTCAAGGTTTTGAAGATTGGTACTCCAGCTTTAATGTGTCTTCTTTTCTTGTTTGTATATCTATTTGGGCATGTTTTAAAAAGAAGTACAATTGAATATCAAATCCATTAATATCACACTGTTTTTATTGGTCCGGTTACTTACAATATACTTTTCTGGGGATGAAACAATGTGTTATAATTGTTGCCTTTGAAATTGTGAGAACAGAATGAGATAAAAAAAAGTTTCAAAAATACCTTCACTTATCGTCTTACTTCCTCTGTAGATTTAAATAACTGAGTTGAAAATTGACAAAAAGAAGGTGAAGCCAAGGCCACAGTTAATCTTCTTTCCTCCCAGCTTAAGTCCCCCGCGGTGTGATTCCGTTTACATTTCCAGATATATTTAAAAGTATTCGGAGGAAGGAAGCGATACCTTACAATGACAGTGACAGTCTCCCAAAGTCATTCATATAAATTAGTAACAATAATTAGCACGTCTATTTTTTATGTGTATATTCGGGAGGTGAAGAGGCAAGAAGAAAATTTAAAATGAAATCCAAGTAACTAGTTTTTGGCTCTCAAAAAGATCTGTGTATGTTTGTCTTCTTTCACATCTTTGGATATGTTTTTATTTGGGTAAAAAATAAATACTACACCACTCAGCCAATGAGCTCTAATGTAATCTAAAGATACAGCACGTTGTCGACTGATTAGATCATAAACCGTTACTTAAACAAGGCTCTTTATTATGGAACAAACAAAATGTGTTTATGAAACAATCAAAAAAGTATTCTAGGTTTGACTGGACTTCAACCCAAATGTGTTCAGGGAAAAGACGTTTTAGAGATATTCTGACACTTTGAAGCTACTGTGGTAAAGTTCTAACTCATCATTCTAACAATGCACAAGGCAGTACTTCTCCACAGCATGTTTTGATTTCTGAAGGCCAAGCTACTAGCACCACGGAGAAAGCTGATTGGACGGTGTTCATTCCTGCATGCTGTAAAATATCATTTGCAGTCTGTAACATATTTGTTCGTGCTGTCTCTACCATTGACAATAAAACATCTTCTTCTTCTTCTGTCTGGATTAAAGACACAATCCCAGACTGTCACCTTCTTCAACGTCTTGGAAAATGTGGTGCAGGAAAACCATATTTTTGAATATCGATAATATTCCATCTCATGAACCAAACTATTCCACAGTTTGTCTTTAAAATGCTTTAAGGATAACGAATACCTGACCAGAATAACCCTTTTATGTTCACTCCTTGAAGAAAACAATGCACATTTTTATTTATTTTCAGAGATGTAGGTGCACTAATAACACAAATAATAAAAATGTGTTGAACCCCTAGTTTTTATACCAAACTAGGTATAAATTAGGGGTTTTTATACCTAGTTTGGTATAAAGAATTGAAGTTTGTAAGAGTTCCTTAAAACCAAAAACAGTTTAGGATTGTATAAAGGTATAAATTGTTTGTTTTTCATGTATTGTTTTTAGGGCCCCGCTCATGCAGCTTCCTGGGAGTTCCCTTTAACAAAACAACGACAAACTTTGCAAAATATAATGTGTATAACTTGTATGGCTATGAAGTTTTGTAAAAAAAAAAAAAAAGGTAGATTTCAGCTCCAAGCTTCAAGTAGAAATAGTGACTCAAAAAGTGATCCACCAAAAGTTTGAGGAAACCACTAATTAAAGGGATAAAAGAAAAATACATGTAAAATGAAGGAAAGCCATACACATGTTTGAACAGTGTCTGGGAGGCTGTTGTAGAGGCTGCATATTTTGCGCTCAAATCAAAAAGTTTTTCAAGAGGGGCGGTGATGTTTGTGAAAAATATCAGTTTTATCAAGTTGCATATATCAACTTTTGCATAATGTCAAAACATTCGAGTCTGCAGATGAAGGCTAAACCCATGTCTTTTCATTAAAAAAGTAGAATATGAGAATCAGCACTTATTTGGATGAAGCAGAAGCGCTGCTGTTGTGTGACCTCGGTTTGTGAAATGCGCTATATACAGTAAATAAAGAATACTTACACACTTATTATTGACACAAAATCATATCCTACAAAAGGGAACTTGCATAATAAGCCAAGTTGTGATGATTTGAAGAAAAAAAGCGTGTTAAATCGGCACACTTCCCTGAGTTCTGACTCCTTTTGCGGGGACAGTGCTGCAGAGAGTGAAAGAAGATTAACTGGAAACTAAAGTGAAGAGGAAAATTCAATTCCACTTCATTTTACGAATTTCAAAGAGACGATTCGAGACCAGGAAAAAAGCAGAGCACCTTTAATAGAGCTCAACGACACCGGAGAATACAAAAAAAAAATTGAAAATATGACACAAAACAATGGCACGTGACTTCAAATATGTACATTTATACACAGGTGGAGGATATGCCTGTTAGAGAGCAGGGAGCAGGTTCAGCACCAGTCACATACAAGAAACAAAGCATTTTACACAGTGCCGTTGCCATGACAATCTGAAGACGTTGCATAAATTAGGTTCATTCCTTCAGTTTTGTTAAAGAAAAGCAAGATTTTCCAGTAATTACATGTGGAAGTTGGTGAGCCTATATTGTGTATGCATATTGTTTTGGACACTTACTCATGATTTTTGCTAAATATAAAATAAATACTGCGTTAGGTCATCTCCAATATGTATATTTGGATTGTCAACAATAGATGTTTTACCACGATCAAGGGTTTTATAACACAAGAATATTTAACTTCTTTAGCGTCCTCCAGAGCCACTCACAAAGATCTGTCTGTAGTGAAGCAAAAATACTGCTACATCATGGAACAAGTGCATTTAAGTGCATTCATCAAGAAAAAAAATCAATACGAAAAAATATCTTGCTCTTAAACTTGTATAATTTCATTTTAAAGTTCTTCTTCTCAGGGTTATCATGCATGTGTGTGCAATTCCACAAGCAAACACACAAGATGAATCCACAAAACTCATTTTCAAAGACACAGCTTTGCGATTTGGCACTTTCTTTTTCTCATGACCGTTTTTGCACACCTGGTTTGCTTATAGTAACAGTGAAACTAACCCTAACCCTAGCCTGGCCTTAGCCTTCCGTAAACTCAGGTACATTTTTATTTCCCTACGTGTACGTCTGGGTCTGATCCTCGTGGCTGCGGTTACCTCGGTTGTATCCAATCCGACCAATCAGCGAGCGGGGAAGGCGGGTGTTGTAGGTAGGTGTCGGTGACGTTAACAGTTTGCGCTGAATTTGCTGGTTGTGGTTTGGCAACGACGGAGAATGCGATAGTAAAGGAAGCTCTTCAATCCGTTCTTGTTCCGCTCTAAATATCAAGAAATTGAAGCCGGAGCAAGAGGAATGTTTAGCAAATCTCATTGCTGGCAAAGATGTCGTGGCTCTACTCCTCTCGGGCTCCGCTAGTGGCAAAGGAGATGGCTAAAGCTAGGCTAAATTCTAAATACCTCACCTCACTCGGGCGCGTTACATACAGTACGTCACCGTAAACTCAGATCCAATCGTTTCAATCTGCAAAAGGAGTTGACCCCTCCCACCTGGTAACGGAGCTCAATAGATCAAATCCAGACCTCAACACGAAATGAAATGAGTATGATGGTATGGTAAGACCAGGCTAACCTAACCATTATAGTAACAGTGAAAAAGTCGGAAGGCTTTATAGGCACTCTCTTAGTGAATGTACAAATATTTTTTTCTGAGCTTCATACATCAAATCTCTCTATATACAATTACATACTATACACATGCTCTACCTGTGAACTCATTACATTCTAATCCCTGTCAAGGCACAAAGTCAAAAGAGTTCATCACGTCGGCGTTTCCGCTTTTGGGTCGCACAGGTTTTTCTCTTATCATTCCATCATGCATTCCTCATAATCCTCAAAAAAACCGACTTGACTTCGTCCGCTTTACAGAAGGACCGTGCTCTGGCGGCTGTGATAGTGCAGTGGATTAACTGTGGGTGAACCTTAAGAATATATCCCTGGTTTGAACCGCAAAGCGAACATGGGAAAAGCAAAAAAAACTAAAAAACCTGGTACAGTGAAAGCAGCAGATTTTCAATGCAGATGAGCATGCATGTCTGTATACTCATACTTTGTTTTATACAAGATATAAGTCTTTCTGTCAGCTTATTCTTTGTTAAGTTGAGGAAATTGATCAAATGTAAGTGATTTCCTTCCTTGTGGTTTGGGGGGAGGGAGGGAGGGAGGGAGGGGGGGTATTGGGCAGTAGCATTCACAGCTGGCATAAGGTCAACAGTGTGCAAAGTGCGACGTAGAGCAGTGCAAAGATCCACGGTCGGGGGCGCAAAGACGTCGCCGAGCCCCCGATCACCATCACAGAGGTGGGCTTGATGGGCTTGACGTACAGCCTGTCTCCGCCCGGCTGGCTCCCCAAAGACTTGCCTTCACTCAGGATGTCTGGATGAGCTGCAACAGACAGACAAAGGGGTCAGCCACATAATCACACAGGCGGCTTTAGGACTTTCAACAACATCACATATTTATATTTCATTCATGTCCGATGTGGTCATTCTCCGGGGTCAGGTGATTTAGAAAAAGCAAATATGCAAACTAAATGGATGACAGTCTACTTGTCATGGTTTAGGTTTATTTCCAGTTTTATTTTGTAACTTGTATCCCTGTGTCTTCCTTGGTTCTACTTCCTGTTGTGTGATTACCTGGCATGCCCTTATGTGTTTCACCCAGTGGGGGCGGGTCCCGGGTCAAAAGTGGCCAAAATGACTGCACGCGCCCACATGCTTGCAATACCATCCCGGGCCGATGGGAGTGGACCCAGAATAAGAATTAGCCAAGGCTAACATATAGCATCTTCTTAGCTCTTGATAACGTCTTTACAGGATGGTCTAAAAGTTGGCTCTTGGCCCAAAGCTCCGTTCCACATGTGTGTCAATGCTGAGGGGAGTGAATTTTTTTGGACCACTCTAGTTTACTCGCTGTGACTTTTTGAAGTCACTCGTTTAAATGAATGGGGCTCGTGCCGGCTGACGCATGCGCAGATGCGCAGATTTTCCAGCCCCAGCGGCCGTTTTGAATCACTCCGTGAAAGCCCAATTTTTGGCCCATTAGTTAGAACGGCGGAGATAGGCGTTAATATGTACAGTCTATGGTTTTACCTTTACTATGTTGGTAACTTGTTATTGAACTGTATTTCAATATGTTTTTAGTAACACATTTTACGCATCTTAGAAGCTAAGCAGAGCTGGGTCTGATTATGGAAGATCTCTGGGAACAGGGAAGTGCCAAACTGTTGTTGTCTGGTGTGTGTGTGAATAATTGTAATAATAATTATAATAATTATAATTAGAATTCATTATTATTTTTACTACCATTTATCTATTGGTTGGACACATTGGACACATAATCAAACAACTAGACAGGTTAAATTAAACGCATTTTGGGTGTGTATTTCTAACATTTGTACATTTGAATTGGGCTGGATTTGGATGCAATAAATCGAGACATGAAAGTAAAAGAAAGATACACAATTTGGTTTTGCATACTCTCCTTGTGGCCTAAAAACTAAAAAACTAAAGAATTTCTCTTTCACAGATTCCATTACACTTGAGTTATTCATAACAATATTGATTGTTTTGTTTTGGAGTCAAGGTACTATTCCTGAATAAGACAAACTCTATTTCTCAAAACAATTCATTTCTGTCGACAAATTGTTTTTCCAAATCCAGAGCTTGTGATTTTGGGGGGGAAATTGGCAGCAAATGAATAGTTCGGATAATATTTTACACGGATTGAGCCCCAGCTAATTAATGGAACTCACCAGAATACACAATTATAATGAGAGTTAAGTCCGACATGCTGTGGGTGGATAAGAGCCCACGGAGCAACATGAGCTGAAAACATTCCTATCATTAAGAAGTTTTTCAAATTAGGATTTTGTTACGCAAACTAAACCTTCTGTTGTAATTTAGAACTAATGGCATTTAGAGAGAGAGATGTATTTATTATTTTGTTGTTACTTTAGTGCGTCATCTTCACTAGTTCACTCATTCACATTTTTTCTTGTTACATACAGCATAGCAAGACACTTTTTATTTTATTTAATCAATTTTTCCCAATATCCTCTTCATGTGCCAATAAATAAATAAACAATTAATAAACAATTATAGTAATAAAGTATAGAATAGTTACAACAAATTAAAGACACAAAGAGATTCTTGTATTGATTCCTGTAATAATCTTATATTTACATTAAAATATAGATCCTTTATATAAACTTAAAGATATTGCTAAAACATGACACATTGGACATAAATCATTGTAAATTTGTAATAATGTATAACGTCATGTCTTACAGTCGCTCTATCTGCTCCTCTGACCACCACCACTCTCACACAAACACACAAGACTCATACAATAGACACAAAAAACAATACTTTTTCTTATTCAAAACAATCTAAAACTTGACAATAAAATGTACGGGATTCAAGGGCCCTTCCCCACAGCTGCATCTACTGTACGCATACAGACCAAACTGAGGCCAAATCCAAAGGAAAAGGGATTGGTGAGGAGGGAGCAGGGGCCAGAGCAGAGCAGGAGGTGAGTGGGCGGAATGACAATGGTCTGCATCAGTTTGCACAAAGTATTTGAGGATGGATAAATGCAATGTTTTGTTTTCCTTATTGACTGCTCTTCCGTATTCTCTCAGTGCACAAATGACTGGCCAACAAACCAAAACTAACAATAATATTGGTTGTTCAACTTGTGCTTGTATAAAACTAAATACCTTAAACATGATTCATTGTGTTTGACTCTCAAAAACCCTCTCCATGGAGGTGACAGACCATCCACCAAAACCTTACTGTAGTGTCACGTTGAGCTGCTGCTTCAGGTGATCAATGCATGAGAAGATTACTATTTTGGTATTTCATATGCCTTTTCCTTCTAATGACTTTTAACATCTTGGCCAAACTTGCATGTGAAAGCCTCTGAAACTGTGCAGGGCAGGGCCTGGTTAGCACTGTGATGGGAGACCTCTGGTAACGCCACATGCCACCGTGGGGCAGCTGTGGCTGTAAAGTGCCAAACTGTTGTTGTGTCCTTAGGCAAGACACTTCATCTACGATGCCTAGAATGAGTCTGGGGTGTGTGAATGATTGGTGGTGGTCGGAGGGGCCGATGGCCCATAGTGATTGCCTCACTTCAGTCAGCGTGCCCCAGGGCAGCTGTGGCTAAAGTAGCAGTTTATCACCATTGTGCATGGAGTGAATGAATAATGTGAAGCGTCTTTGAGTGTCTAAAAAAGCACTATATCAAACCGATGCGTTAACATCTAAAACCACTATGTACAGGAAAATATTTCTGCTTGGCATTTATTAGATTTTTCTGAGTTACAGAGAATTCTTACTTGTGGCATTTGGCATCATTAAAATAATTAATTTCAAAACGTTAGACACAAAGCTTTGTTTTGTGGTTTGTAAAGCGGGCAACTGGCTTTCGATCGGCCCTCAGGAGACCAATTAGAGACTGATGGACTGTGTCTGTCCATGGATCATGCTGTCTTGGGTCTGATCAGCGTAGCAGCAGAATGCTAAAACACTGACCACTATTTAGGACTGCTGTCTTCGCTCCACAAATTCAGAGGAACTTCCTCCAAACAAGTTTATGTGAAGGAGAGAAGATGCTTTCACACACTGCATTACGGCCCATCCATCTCGGAGCACATTCTCTCCACGGTTCAGCCTTTATGTGGTCCCTTGTCAGGCAGGGGCTCCATTTAAACTAATCTGGGTTTTTGTATTCAAGTAAAAACAAGGAGTTTGTGCACACACTCTTTTCTGGGAAATGTCCCTTAGTCTTACCGAGACAATCTGGGGCTGCTAACAGGGTCTCTGCCAGGCTCCCAAAAGGCCAAAAGAGACAGAAGTACAGAGAGATACACATCCTATGGCCCAGACTCACCTAGCAACGGTTACAGCGGCGTGGCAACTCCCGGCCTGGACCTCTCAGTGGAATCTGAGCCCTGCGCTTCTTGGCTGTACATGACTATTAAGCTTTTTGGCAAGATTAAGATGTACCCCCTTTCTACACACAAATACAGGGACGACAAATAGGCCCGGGGCCCTGGGAGGACACTGACCTCTACCAGTCAGGGAAACCATTCCCAAGATGGAAAAAGGAGATTTTTGAAGTTTGCCTTCCTGTGCAATGGCATTGCATAAGAAATGTAAGGATTAGCATAACGGAAACTCATTAGCAGATAATGCAGGATTAAAAGTGTTTTGACATCTATTGACGACTTTTCATGTCAGAGTCAGTTACAGAAGGAAAATGTTGAATTATTTTGGCTATTAAACTTATTATTACTCTGTTAGTTCATATAAAATGATTCTGATTCATGTTTTTTCATTGAAATTGAAGATGTATGGTGAGTATATGGTCTCAAGGATATTTGTCTTTTGTTGTATTTTCTAAAATGAAGAATCAGAAGAATGCTCTGATTGTGATGTCACAGTGGTACAATGACATCATACTAGTTCAGATTTGAGACAGGAGCTTTCAGACATGGGACGGCATTACATGTTTGTGCCAGAAGTGTTGCGTTTTAGCATGGAAGAATCTAACAGCAATTCTAGGTCTGTTTTTGATGAGGGGACTTCTTAATTAAAGGTAATGAAAATATAAGTCATATAAAAGAAATATAAGAAAATACCATCGATCAATCATTCCCCAGATTTGAACGTTTGACCTGAGTATGTATAGATTATTCCTTGTTCTTGCAGATGATGGCAAAGATGGTGCAAAAGTATATTCTTCTTACATTTCTCACACGACAGGAAAGGTAGACATCTGGGAGGACAGGAGAGTGCATTTTTGCAGATAAATTACGCGCCTGCCAATCTGCACAATCTCAAAATAGATGCTTTTCCTTTTATTTGTTCTCACTTTCTCTCCCTGCACCTCAGTGACTCCTTCAATGATGTGTCTTCAAACGAGAAACTCTCCTTTTGAAATGTGCACAAGTGCATGAAAATATAACTATGTTGCTGTTGACTGCAAATGACTGAGGCTTACACAACTTTTCAAACATGTTTTCAAATCCTTTTTAATTTATCTAACATAAGAATTCTTGCCTTTTCAACTTCAAAGTGTGTTGGTTCGAAAAAGAAAATAGTTGCGCTGCTGTTATAAATGTTTCATTTTGTGGGGGCGACACATACACTTTGATGTAAACTCTTGCTTGCTCAACTTGCTCGCTGCAGTTATTACAGACTTAAAAATGCAAGATACATGATTTCATCTGTAAAAGCCGGGAATAGCTTTTGTCGTTTCAGATTCAAATTCTGGATTACTCTAGTTTATTATAATGTAAAAATAGGGGATTTGTAAAACTTCACCAGAACTGAAAGTAATGGTATCTAATCATTGACAAGAGAGCAATAAAACATGAC